AGGTAGATATGGCAGATACCTCCATCTGGTAGGTGTGAATCAAAGGGTAGGACCAACAGAAAGTTAATTCTTAAAGGAGCTTTCTGAAAAATTGACACCAGGCCTTAAAGGAACTCTCGGTGAGGCTGCTGTACTGACACGAGCTAATCCAGTTCCACTTTTTTAATGATTAAAATGTGAAAGAAGGGGAGTGGTGGCCTTGTGATGCCAAGAGATGGCATTGCTGCTTCTTTGCATTCGGGCTGTATAAAGTAAATAAGTATTTTTGTTGAAATGCATGGCTGAAGGTAGAAGGAATACCTTTGGGTTGCTGAATACATTATAAAACAATCATCTCGTACTCATGTAGCCGGGGAATAAAAATAGTTGGCACGTCTATATTGGGAACAAATCATGTCAGAGAATGGAAATTGGATGGCTCTGGGTGGGTGGGTGGCCTCAGGAAGGAGGGGGAAGCATTAATTTGCAATGCATTGACTCATAAAGCTTTTGACACTATCCCATATGGTATTTTCATAAATAAACTAGGTAAATGCGGACTGGTTGAAACTACTGTTAAGTGGGTGCAACACCGGTTGGAAAATCAGTCAGAAAAAGAAAATATCAATATTTTCCTACCGAAGGGGGAGCACGTGTCGGGAAGGATCCCACGGGGTCTGTGCAGCGTTGGGCGTCACTCGGTGTATGGCTTGACAGCTCGCATGATGAAATAGGAGCGTGTGTACGTACATTTCCCACTGATGCTATGGAAATTCTTCAGAGGGCAAGCTTCTAATTCAGCACGGCCCTGTAAATCAGTGGAGTGAAATGGATAAAGACAGCTTCAAGCGACAGAAAATGAAATAAGATGCATGAATAAGAGGAGAATGGCTGACAAGACAGGCCTATTGTTGAGAAGTATCTGGGGAATTATGGTGGATTAGCAGCCAAATGCAAATGAACAAAATGACTGCAAAAAATGAGAGCCAGTAATGTGGCTGGGGTTTGTAGCGGTAGGAGAGCCATGGTGAGGTCTTGGTCAGGTGCTCGTTTGTGGAAGGGAGTAAGGGCAAGCTGTAGAGTCATTCTGATCTTATTCAGTAGAAATGCCACCTCAGTGCTTTATATGAAACAACTTCAGCAGGACAGCAGGGTTTCACCTCATGTTCATTAGCGGTAGAATTCCAGAGTGGTTTGGGTTGGAAGGGTCCCTAATGCCCATCCAATCCCAACAAGGGGCTCCTCCCACCAGACCAGGCTATCCAAAGCCCATCCAGCCTGGCTTTATAGGGCTGGAGTACCTTCCTAATTTTCCTGATTTCCCTATTTTTTGCTTAAATTTATTTAGGCAACTTCTGGTCAAATTCCTTATTAGCTTGGGCTATTGCAGAGCTGCTTTTTGACATGTGAGTGATTCACTGAAAACAGAGACTAGAAAAACAAGGAACAGGACTGCATTTAACAAGGCCAGAGACCTCAACAAAACGCTAATCACCCTAATTTGCCAGGACGTAGTCAGCACCCATGGGATGTCCTTGGGGTTCCACTACTGGTGACTAGAATCTGTGCCGTGGCTCCATGGGGCTGCATGGGCACGGCGAGGCAGAGGGGATGGAGAGGGGCAGAGCTGGGCCAGGACGAGCAGAGATTGCTCTTCTCTTTGTCATCTGAAGGAATGAAACTCTTTGGAGCATTTGTAGCATGGTGCTCGTTCACCAGCAGTACCACATAGGCTTCCAAGGTGGGCTTGGTAGTGTTAGGCTGGTGGTTGGACTTGATAATCTTAACAATCTTTTCTCACCTGAATGATTCTATGATGATTTCAGCTTCAAAACAGCAGAAATGCAGAGGCTGAGGGTTATGTTCACTCACCCACCTGAACGCCAGTGATATCAGCGCTGCCGAGCCTCCTACACACAGCAGTCCTGCTGGGAGCATGGGGCAGCCAAGGGGCATAGCAATGATGCTACACCTTAACCAAGGCCAGCACGAAGTTGGTTTTTGAGAAATAGGCATATGTACCATGACTGTGCTGTGTGTCAGTAGCACCGTCACGTGTCACTGCTGCTCTCTGCTATGCACACTGCTGCCTTGCTGCAAGCCACCGTGCTGCAGCTGCTCTGAATGGGCACTGATTGCTGTGCAGACGTTCAGGAGATGATACACTGATGAAGTTTACGAAGAATTAAGCTTGTCTGTAGCTATCTCAGGCTTTCCCTGAGGAGCTGAATTCAGGAAGAGACAAGCTCTGCAGAAACAAGAGTGGAAGATGCACGTCAGCAGAACTGGAATTTGCTTTCTTGGTGCAATCATGAGGGAGATGCTTTGAGAGGCCCTCTGCAAACAGGGCAGCATTCAGCGTGAGGTACGAGAGGGCACAAGCCGTGTGCTTTTTGTTTGAACCAGATGTGAAGGATGTGCATTTTGTAGCGCAGGATTACCTGCACTAGCTTTGTATTTTAATGCTTCTGCTCTCTGAAAGCAGCATGCGTACCTACAGAATTTTACATTCATAGAATCTGAAGATTGTAAACATTGGGCAAGACCTCCAAGGTCACTGAGACCAGCCATCAAACCATCCCCACCATGCACACTCACAGAGCATCACAGAGTCATTAAGGCTGGACAAGATTAAGGGGAGACCTCATTGCACTGTACAACTTCCTGAAGGGAGGTTGTGGTGTAAAAGGGTCTGGCCTCTTCTCCCAGGCAAATAGTAGGACCCAAGGAAACAGCCAGAAGTTATACTAGAGGAGATTTAGGTTGGACATTAGGAGAAACTTTTTCTTTCAAAGGGTGGTCAGGCACTGCAATGGCTGCCCAGGGAGGTGGTGGAGTCGCCATCCCTGGCAGTGTTCAAGAGGCGCCTGGATGAGGAGCTACAAGATGTGGTGGAGGGAGATGTGGAGGGTGGTTGGACTAGATGATCTTGCAGGTCGTTTCCAACCTTGTGATTCTGTGATTCTATGATTCTAAGATCTGTAGGATCATCAGGTCCAACTGTCAACCCATCACCACCACCCACAGGGTGCCATTGAGCCCTACGCTTCCTCCTGCCCACTGCATGTCGATGTTCTGTGTGCTGCAGTTGGCACTGCCTGCCAACACGGTGACAAATGCTTCCCAGGGTGCATCTGTTTATTGTGGTGATGCATTTGTTGATCAACAAAGCTGAGGAAGGGTCTGGAGCACCAGGGGAGGTTCAGGTTGGATGTAAGGAAGTATTTCTCTGGAAGACTGATGATGCAGTGGTGCAGCTGCCCAGGGAGGTGGTGGGGTCACCAAACCTGGAGGCGTTCCAGAACCGTGGGGATGTGGCACTGAGGGACGTGGGCAGTGGGCACGGCGGGGTGGGTTGGACTTGGGGACCTGGTGATCTTTTCCAGCCTTATTGATTCTATGAATCCGTGACTTCTAGCTGCAAATGAAAAGAATCAGAGAGATGCTAGGAGCAGTGTTCAGTCTCACGTTAATTTAACTCTCTTCCTTTTTTCCTCCTTTCAGAAGCAGAAATGCTAATCATCATTAATGCTATAGCTGTTTGGAGTTCAAAATGTGGTCATTTCTGCCGGGCTTTTTCTTTTCACAGGAGCACGTGCGTGGAGTTGTAATGAATAAGGTCTCAGAATCTCGATTCTCATGGCTGCAGCAATGTGCCAGCCATAGTGCACATCTAAAATAAAGCTTTTCAGCACTTGGCTGTAGTCAGCTCTCACAAAGTGTGGATTGCTTAAGAATTCCTCTTTGCAGTGGTTAATGTGAAGTCTCTTTCTTGTTACAAACCCATTATTACAGAGGTTGCTCGTTGCCCAGAGGGGGTGATGTGGGTAATTCCACTTTCCTCCTTTTTACGAGGTCTCGCTCTGCTTCTGGCAGACTCCTCTGACATGTTGCTGCACGTAGCAGAGAAGAAAAGAGTCTGCATGTCTGGAAAACGAGAATTCTGCTTTCATAGCATCTGAATATTGATGCTGAAAGCAATAAATACTGCATTTATAAAGCTTAGAGACAAATACTTCCTGGACATGTGCGGAGAAGGAATTAACTGAGGTTTGTAAGTTGAAAGAGCAGCTTGAATACCTGACACAGAAATGAAGAATGGAATGTCTTGTACACTTCTATTTTGGGAAGAAATGCCTGTTATGTTCAGATAACAGCAACACATTGGCGTGGCAGCAGGTTGGGTCTGCAGGCATTGCTCACCTGCCTGTGGGGAAGCTCCCGTGTATGAAAATTGCTGTTGATTTTGTGTGCAATGCCTGGGACTAAAGAAATATGGCCATTTTGCTGTATCCTGTCAGAGGTTCTGAGATGCTGCTGTTATGGTGGAAAGCATCACGTACTCACTGGGCTGCATGCAGTTGTCCACGTGGGAGTACTTCCAACAAATATTTCTTGCACTCAGTCTCTATTCACGAAATTATTCAGAAGTGTAATAGGTTTATTTATTTATGTACTCAGAACAAAGACAAACACAGTGTTACGTAAGGAACCCCTGACAGGTGGTGGGTTTCATGGTACCAGCCACTGCATCTTTTTGTTTTCTATCACACTCCTTATCTTTTTGCTAGCCCTCTTGTTGCATGGGTTCTCATTCCACGCACTTGTAGAGCTGCAGCCCTGTGGGGTTGGGCTTATCCTGGGGCTGGCAGCAAGTCGGTAGGATGAGTTCTATGTAGAGCCCAAGAGGCAACATCTCACCCAGTTTTGGTTCCAAAGCAAATTCCAGAGCGGCTCCATGAAAACCACTGTGCTGGTGAAAGCATCACCAGTGACCACATGCGCTGCACATTGGGCACCCAAATGGTTCCCTGTTCTAATCTCTACCTTCACAAGGTACCCTTTTCGTGTGACTCATATTTACCATTTTAATTACTCATCTATTTGTTTTAATTTTTAACTGTTTTAATTTTTAACTGTTCGTTGCAATCTTTAACTGTTTGTTTCGTTAAAACCCATTAATTATTTGCTTTGTATTCACCTTGTGTTTTGTTTGCTCTTTTTGCCTCCCCCATCACCAGGTTGCAGTGCAAGGCGGACGCTGCTGGCCAGTTAGCTGATGAGCATGCACTGATTGCAACTTATGTGAGCCGGCTGCAGCGCGGGGCACGGTCAGTGCTAGGAGAGCTTCTCATTTCCTCCTTCAGGTTTTTCACAGCTAGCTCATGGCCCTTGTGCCCACCTTGTTCTGTAACTCAAATGGCTTTTCCTTCTCCCTGTTGGTTATCCCTCTGCATACCTTGTGCAGCCATAGATAATGTCTCACCCTGTTGCACCTTTTGTTGACCTGGGCTAAACCTCTGTCAGTCTCATCAACGCAGGCTGCATAATACAACAGCTTCATGGCTTCATGCCTGACCCACCTGGTAGCCTTCTGTGATGGAGAGACGTCATCGGTGGACAAAGGAAGGATAATTGTTCTCTACCCAGACTTGTGCATAGCATTTAACATGGTCCTGCACCACACCCTTATCTCTACCTAGGGGAGATGCAGATTTGAAGGCTGGACTATTTGGATAAAGAATTGATTGGATCACAGCGAGAGGGTTGCTGTCAATGGCTCTATGTCCAGGTGGAGGCTGTGATGAGTGCTGTCTCCCAGGAATCCATCTTGGGACTGGTGCTCTTCAACATCTTTATCAGTGTAATAGATGATGGGATCGAGTGCAGCCTCAGCAGTTCGCAGATGACACCTGGCAGAGTGGTGCTGCTGACACAAGAGAAGGAGGGAGGCCATCCAGAGGGTCCTGGACAGCCTCATAAAGGGGTACACATGAATCCAGGGCCAGGCTAGATGGGATCCTGGGCAGCCTAGTCTGGTGGGGCACCCAGCCAATAGCAGTGGGATTGAAACAAGGTGATCTTTGAGGTCCTCTCCAAACCAATCATTCTGTGATTCTATGATTCTTTTTGTGCCCTTCCAAGGAAAGCTAACGCTTTGAAGAATTCATTTGGTTTTTTTTTCAACTTTAGTGTTTGTGCACATTCATATTTCATATTTGTGTAGAAAAGTCTTATCCTAAAGCCCCAAAGCAAAGTTCTCCCATTTCGTCACAGGACATAGCCAGAGGGCTTCCATATTCCACTTTTGGACATAACTAAATTTTGCCTTTGCAGAGACAGAGTTATTATGCTGTGGTTTAGTGATTCGGGGCTCTTTCCATGTTGTTATCCTATGGATAACATTTTTAGAGCCTTATTTCACCACTGTGCCATGTAGAAATTTGTATTCCACTGCCGTATTTATGGAGTGCATTCTGGCTTTCCAGATCTCCGGAGAAAGTCAGTTTGTTTCTTGACAGTGAGTCACTGTTGTCTGCTGAACTGAAAGCCCGTAATATTGTTCACATGACAATAAACTAAAGGAATTACTGCAATCACCAGATTTAAGATAGAAAAAAGTTACTGCATCTTGCAGAATACAACAGTGAAATATTGGATGTGGCTAATAGCTGCTGTGTTGCAGCCCACTGCAGTAGAGGTTTTCACTCATTTAGGTCTTTAAATTAAAAAATGCCTTTGGTATGGTTACCAGAGTAACAGTGCACTCCTGGAAGGAGCCAAATGCGAATAAAATAATTTAAATCTCACTCTCTTTGTGCAAGGGAGTGTTCCAAGTCAGCACGAGAGAATGCTTCCCCACATTCCTGATGAAATCTGTACTCCATTGTCACTTCTTTTGATCTTTTATTTCCCCTTTTTTGGCCAAAAGAGTTCAAGTGCAAGTATAGCAGTCTTGACGAGCTGCAGTGACCATCACTCACCTTCTTTCATCTTATTAAGAATAATTCACCAACGTCCTCCAACCAAAAAATCTTCCCGTGCTGCATAAGGCTTAGAGCAAACAGAGCTCAGTGGATTTCATTTATTTTACAATAATATATTTGTCTTTTCTTTTCTTTTCTTTTCTTTTCTTTTCTTTTCTTTTCTTTTC